TTTATATTTATACTGTGATTGTGTTGAATTTTGTATTTTAATTATATTTTATATTTTTGTATTTTAATTATATTTTATTTATTTTGCACGCTCAAATGCAACTGCATTTCTGTGCTTATAGCATATTTATTGTAACATTGTTTTAATATTTGTAAATTTTGTAAACATTCTTTAAACAATAAATATTATTATTATTATTATTATTATTATTATTACTGGAAACTGTGTAACTGTTGCAAAAAAGAAAGATATTCTAGAGTTACTTGAGTTTATTGCGCCAATTTATCGCAATTTTGTTCGTGAGCAGCAAAGGATGAAATTCCCATAGTTGATAAGAATGATGAATAGTTTTTGTATTTTTTAATTGAATATATTACACTTTTTTTAAGAAAAAACTTTTTTGCATTATTTTTTTGAGATAATTGTTTATTTTGGAGTAAAAATATATAAAAAATTGTATATTTTCCTTATTTGGTAATAGTCCATTATGGAAAATAATTAAACTTTTATAAAACCAAAGCGGATCAACCCACATTATTTTTTGTTTTTTTGAAAATATATTATTATATCTGCATTAAAATATAAATTATTTTTAGTATTCTAGCTTAAATTAAATTGAAATAAAACCTTTTAGAAGTACATAAAAAATAATACAAAAAATGCATATTGTTTAAACCTAATTATCACGATTTAAGTCAGTCCACTCTGGTTCTCAGCGCCTCAATTAAGGTTATTGTTTGGATGTTTTTTTACAGTGGTAGATATTTTTCGCATTTTCTTTAAAGATGGACACTGTGATAAGGACGATGAAGTCTTATTTTCTTTAATATGAATAATTTGATTGTTTACATATTTTTACAGCCATTTTTTCTTTTGTTCCTCTTTAACTATCACAAGCATAAATGGACTGGATCCTATACAAAACTCAAAAATTCCATAATGTTTTAAATGCTATGCTGTTTATGCAACTGCTGCTGTTGACATTACACAGGGTGTCACCTAATAAATTGTCATCCTTTAGGGGGACATTCCAAAACAAGAAAGTTTTTCCTTTATCATTTTTGCTTTAGAGCTACTGTTTTTTAATAAAAAAATTATGAAAATTTTTTGACAAAACCAGGGACCCACTGGATGTCACTGAATCCTATATGTCATCATTGTTTTTACCTCTAAAACGAATGCTATTATTCATCCAAGCAAAAAAAACAAGTGGGAGACATTCATTAAAAACTTAGATTTATGTAATATCAAGCAAACTTTTAAACTAATTTTAAATTAGTTAGTAGGTACTTTGTTATCATTGATTATTGACAATTTGGTTATTATGATTTTGTAGAACACTTCAAAATAGCTGCATGAGCATTAATCGACGTAAAAAGTTAATTTTAAATCGACGGGTAAACCACGGAACAATAAACAATCAAAAATAAGTATTGTTTTATTCAAACTACCTAAACATAGCTGAGTATGCAAAATAAAAAACAATTTTCAACAAAGTAATCAATGATAACACAAATATAAATTTTTAATGACTGTAGACTATTGCCCACTGTGAAGAAACATTTCGCCTTAGTTGTCGTAGGTACTTTACTTATACAAATTGTAATTATACCATCATCCCCTTAAAGGATGAAAACTTATTTATTGACATCCTGTATATACCACAACAGTCTTTATTTTTATTCCAATCGTCTTGTACATCAACAGCTGCTGCTGTCCATTCCATGAACATTATTTTGCAGGTACAAACGATGACTTTTTATTTTGTAGTTAAATAAATTAATGTTGAAAGAAAGTTTAATAAAACTTGTGCACTATATTATTGCTTACGGTATTTATTATTGAAATTTTCTTTGCCCAAAACGGTAGACCTTGTTTACAAAATTCAATCAACGTTTAGTTTGTTTTTATATCGTTTCAATTTTTGCAAAAAACTGGAGTAGTTCCATTCCAACATAGGGTATTTATAATCAGACGTGTTTGTCATCGTAGGAGGTCTTACCCGACCACAGCTGTGGTATTGCATATAGGTTTTGGTATCATTTTTAACTCTGTATACTTTTTAGACCACATATTGGATTCGCTTTCAAATCGTATAACGCAAGTTTGTAAGGGTCCTGTGGTATATAAACTGTTAAATTCAAACTTGACGCTATTTTTACCAAGGGAAATTTAAATAATCCAATATAAATAATATTATAGTTTTAAGTTATTTTATGTTTTAAAAAGCTATTAAGTTTTAAACATTTACTTCTTTGTAACTAAACCTATAAATGTTAGTGGGATTTATGTTTTACATTCTTATTCAAGTGGTCGAAAAGAAAAAGGGCAGAAAGGTTTTGATTGTAATACGATATACGCCTGTAAAAAGTTTGTGAGAATTATATTATAATATAATTTATAGTTATTGTGATTGTAACCGATTTTCTGCTATAATTAGGTATGTACACTTTTATGAATTGTAATTTTTGCTAGTGATGATAAACGACTACCTATTTTGGGTTTTCTTAATATATTTTTGCTTATAATTTTGAACATCATTATTTAATTCGCATCTTGGTCTATGTCGTTATCCTTGCTAGTTTATTGGGTCCTAATCATTTTAATATGTGTGTAAGTATCGAGTGATTTTTGGTAATATTTTTTATTGTCTTACTATTTTTTTGTTTGGGATAATTACTTTTGGAGTGCACCTACCTCCGACCTCCAGAGCACCTACCCCTTTAAATAGCAACCCCTATTTATCTCACAATTTTTGAAATCCTTAATTAAAACTAGATAAGATACATTTTTGTTGCCAAAATTGAAGTAGTTATAACCTCACAAATGTATGGAATGTATTTAGTTTATAAATTAAAATACTGGTAGTTTTAATGGGGTTCCGCCTTAAAAGTGATAATAAAGATAATATAATTACTTTATTAATTGTTCAAAATGGTTTCCATTGTTTTGTAAGCACAAGTACAGCCGATATTCAAACTGTTTGCGGACGTTTTGAAGTGTCTCTGGTAAAATGGCCCTACATTCTTGAACAATCCTTTGTTGGAGTTGTTTAATTGAGTCCGGTTGGGTTTTAAATACAATGGATTTCAAATGACCCCATAGAAAGAAATCGAGCCAAGATCAGATCTGGTGACCTAGGTGGCCATTCAATGGGTTCCCTTCTACCAATCCATTGCTCCGGATAATTATTATAAAACCACTCTCTTACTGGACGTACATAATGAGGAGGTGCTCCGTCCTGCTGAAAGTGTATCAAATGTTCATCGAAAACAAGATTTCCATCGACGTCTCTTTGATTTTCCACCTCATGAATTATACGAGGCTCAATTCTTCTGTCTAACACTTTCGCATACATTTCACCATTTAAATTTCCATCTATGAACAAAGGACCAATGATAGTATCGCCTAATTTGCCCGCCCAAACATTTATTTTTTGAGGATAATAATGTGAGGATTGATTCAATCCGATTGAAGTCGCTCCAATAACGGCAGTTTTGTTTGTTTACCTTGCCATTTAGGTAGAAGGTGCACACATCACTAAAACAGATATTTTTTATAAACTGGGGCAGAGCAATAATCCTGTTAGTCATAATTTCGCAAAACTCAATACGTCTGTCCGGGTCATCATCCCCTAATTCTTGAGTAATTTGTAGCTTGTATGGGTAAAATTTGTGAAGCTTCTGACTGATTCACGCGACAGTCCAGTTCGTTCTGTAGCTGGACGAAGCGACATAGTGGGAGCCATAGCAATTTGGCCAAGAACTTTAATCTGAGCGATCTCATTGACCAATCTTGGCTCATTTCTCTTCTTATTGCAAACAGATCCACTTTCTTTTAATTTAGCTACTAAATCTCGGATGTACTTGTGTCTAACATTTCTTTCTGGATGACGATCATTAAATATAACCGCTGTTCTTGCGAAGCAACGGTTTCCCGCTCCATAAATAAAATTCATTTTAACGCGTTCTACAATAGTGTAAACCATTTTAAGAAAAGGATACAAAAACACCCAACTACTATAATAGGGCCTTTCCATCTCAAATCGACCAGTCAAAAAGGGGTAGGTCGTTATTATTTAACAAATTTTTTTTTACAGTTTCTCTACCGAAATCGATGAGACCCGTATTTTTTCTTTTTGCTTAAATTTGTTTTGATCACCCGAAGGAAATTTTTGAAAAATGGACAGAAACATCGATTTTTCTCTTTTTCGAGTACTTTTTTTCTTGAAAATGCGATAACTTGGCCAAAAATGTTTCGATCGTTACAATTAAGTAAATTGACAAAATAAAATAAAATAAAATAAAAAATTGAGGTCAAAATGTTGACATTGCCACATTTTTTTTACTTCATATTTTTTTCGTTTGATGTTAATAATAGGAACAACTTTTTTTTAATGAAAATGACATTTTCTAGTAAATTCGTGGTTCATCGAAAAAAATTGGTATTTTATCTAGGGTCATGAAACTAGGGTGACCTTTATAAAGTGTAATTTAGAACTTTTTGACATATTTAACAAATCGCGAGCTGAGAATTATGTTATGTTCTATCTGCATATTTTGAAGGTTATGAGATTTTTTATTTCTGGCATCTCAAATGTAAAAATTTTCTATTTACAATACTTTCCGTCAGTAATTTTTAATACCTGGTGGGTAATTGGTTGTGCAATATTATTCTATCTGCACAAAAATCTAAAAGTTGGGTTTATGCTATTCTATCTGCAGTGACCAATAACAAAGCAGCAATTTGTTTAAATAAAACATTATAGCTATGAAGCGTCATAATAATTATTATAGCGCAAACGTCAAGACTTGACATAATCGTTCAGTGAATACAGAGTGGTTGCTTTTGATAGTGATTTGATAACAATTAACGTAAGTACTTATTTTTTTATATCAGTTGGGATCAGTTTGAGTTGATAGACACCTTAACACTATTTAAGGATTCATAATAAACTTAATATTTTTAATCGAATTTAATCATAACGTAATATTTTTAGAATGTCAGAGGCGGATAGTTCCTCAAATTTAGAAGATTTTTCAGATGAGGACCCAGACTACAAACCCTCTAGTGATGAAGGCACTTCTAATACTAATCTTGGCTCTCGAACCCTAGAAAATTACGATTCAGACAATAGCAGTGTCGAAGAAAACATTGCTCAATCTTTGTCGTTGCTTCCCAGTGAAATTGATGTGATGGCGAAAGAAGTAAGTTCTTATGACCTAACTGAAAATAATACTGCTGATGTGATTGCAGAAGAATTGACTTCTAATGGCCAATATGAAAATAATACAGCACAGCAAGAAAATGTTCAGAAAAAGTAAGGATAAAAAATTTACTAATTCCTCGACAAGTGGTGATACCTATATTTATTATCTTCTAGGTTGACAAGAAAAAGAAAGAGAGACGTTGGAACATGGAAAAGAGTTGTAAATAAAAATCTCTGTGAACATGGGAAAGAATACACTGATGTGAAGGGAAGAAAACGAAGACAGCGGGAAGTATTTAGCAAAAAAGACTGTGATAGTGTGTGCAAATTTAAATGTTCAAAAATAATTAGTACTGATGAAAGGCTAAAAATTCATGGGGATTTTTGGAAATTAAATAATGAAAGTAAGCTGCATTTTTACAATACAAACACAGGCAAATCTTTGAAGAAACGCAAAACTGTTGAAAATTCCTCACGACGTATTTTTAGTTATCAGTACTACTTTAATGTAAATAATGAACGGGTTCGTATATGCAAATAATTTTTCGTCAGTACTTTAGATATTAGCCAGAGAAGAATCTCCTATTTCCATGATAACAAAAGGGAAGAAGTTACGGGTTTGCCAATACCACCCCAACAGGGCAAACACCCAAAAAAAGTGATATCAACGGATAGAAAAAATTCTGTTATAACCCATATAAATAGTATTCCATCAATAGAGTCTCACTATTGTAGGATGAAAACAAATAAAAAAATATATAGAGGGAAGTCTAAACATCACTAAACTTTACGATTTATATTTAGAATGGTGTAGGGAACGAAATTTAGAACCAGTTAAATTAAGTTACTATCGACATATTTTTAACTACGAATTCAATATTGAATTTCAAAAACCGAAATCTGATCGGTGTGATTTATGTGAAGAATATAAAATTCTGCCCAAAATGAAGAGCTGGTAGAAAGATATAATAATCACAAGGAAGCAAAAGAATTATGCAAGGCTGCTCGCGACATAGATAGGCGAAATACTGATGACAGCACTGCAATATTGTGCTTTGACATGGAAAATGTATTTGCATTGCCCAAAGCAAATATATCTTGTTTTTACTACAGCAAAAAACTCAACGCATTTAACCTTACCGGCCACTGCAAAGTAGGTATTTCTCAGAAAAAAGTTACTGTGTAAGTACTGTGCTGTGTGGTCAGAAGGTGTTCATGGAAGAAAGGCCATCGACATTTCTTCAGCGCTAATAAAAATTATGACTGCTGTTGCATCTGATTTTCCGGATGTTACAAGATTCATACTTTGGTCAGATTCTTGTGTTCCCCAAAATAAAAACTCAGTGATGACTGTAGCATTAAAAAAGTTTTTGCAAGAAAATCCAAACATCCTACAGATTACACAAAAATTTTGCGAACCTGGACATAGTTCAATTCAAGAGGTTGATAATGTCCATAGCCAAATCGAAAAAAAATTGGCTAATATGAAAATTTATAGTCCTCTAGGTTTACTTAGAGCACTCAAAGAAGTAAACAGAAAGTCACCATTTTATGTTTCACACATGCAACTACAAAACTTTAAAGATTATCAAGGTGCTTCTAAAAGCTACAATTTTAAAAATATACCATATTGTGCTTTAAAAGTTCTAAAGTATTTAAGCAATAAACCAATGCAAGTATACTTTAAATTAAGTCATTCTGAAGTTGAAGATTTCAAAGTCTGCAGTATAGTATCTCAGATGACTCGAAAAAATTCTGCAGCAGCTATGGTTAATTTGCCTGTAATAAAAATATGTTCCGCTCCTCGAGAATGTTTGTTGCCTGAAGATAAAGTTTATTGTTTGTACAAACTTTTTAAATACTTGCCAGAAGTCGATAAAACATACATAAGAACTCTATTTTATCAATATAAAGATGAACAAAATATCAAAAAACTAAAAAAAAAGTTCAAATCTTTGGAAAATGAAAACAATCCAAAATTAAATAAGAAAAGTGAGAGCAAAACCAAACCAAATAAGAATAAAGATAAAACCTTAATGTAGATGGTACAATGAAAGAAAATTTGTACGTTTTTTTGTTTTGTGAAATGTTCTATCTGCAATGTTCATTTTTATGTTTTCATTATTATTGTCTACTAGATGTTACTTTTAGTTAAATAAAGGTATTTTAAGTAAATCTTATTACTTATTTAACCTGTCTAAAATATTAAAACTAATGGCACGTCGTTAGTTGACTTTTTTTAAGTAGTGTGTTTTTAAAACATCGCTGTCCAACATTTACATAATTTGTAGTTGGAACATTATAATTCTCAGCTCGCGAAATGTTTGTCACTTCCGGTTTCACCGGAAATGGTCTTAACTTTTTATTTTTTAATAAATTTGTCAATTTTTGACAGGTTAAATCATGTTTTGATTTAATTTTATTATCTATATCTAGCGTGCCTTAAATTGGCTTTTCTGCTTCATGTTGTGTTTTTATGTTATTACCTAAATAAACTAAACCTAAATTGTTTGTACATTTTCGTAATACTAGTGTCTTGTTCTGGACATTGATTTTGTGAAAACATTTAAACATATTGTGATATGGGGATACTATAGTGAAATAAAAACAATTTCGTAATATCACTTCACAGAGTATGCTATTGTTCCATAGTTTGGTTATTGGCTACGGTTAAATATCTGCACTAGATTATATTTTTTTATATTTCCCCTCCCTTTTAAAGCATTTAAATTATCTCTATCGGAAATCATATCCTTGTGCAATAGTTCGAAGATACGTGGTAAGGTAAACATAAAATGACGATTTCTTATATGTATATATTTTACCTTAGCATAAAATCTTTTAAATATTGATAAAAAAATTTGAACTGTGTAAGTCGCCAAGGTTTTTATAGTCCCTTTTCCCTGTGCTCTGACTCAACTCTTTGTATTTGCTGAAATTAAATCAGGGGTTTCAAATTGAATACTTGTGTTGCATTAAACCTGACCAATTTCAAAATATTATCAATGAACGTAAATACACAACGTAGAATCCTAATTTTTATAAAGTAAGTAAATTAATTAGATGATCACGAATATGCCAAAATAGGTATTTTAGCATGCTAGCATACTTAAAGAATCGGGTTACATGAAGTCATCGTTGTCATCTATGTCGATAGTGGTGTTGATAAAATACACTATACACTTGTATTTATAGTTCAGTTGATGTTGACCCAGCAACGGTGTTGGTTCATCAAACTGTTAAGTCCATCTGTGGACACACTCTTAATTATAAATAAAATAATTCAATTTAAATTGAATTTATTTTTGTACTTAAGTATTATTTAATATTATAATATATTATGAATTATTGATAGTGACGTGGCAAACCTAGCAAATGTACAGAATTCAAACGCATTATAACAATTTGTCAAAATGGTGACATGGCTAACATATTCGTCTATCAATGGACAGGACTGCAGTTCGAAGCAGCAGAAGATATCCTGAAAAGGACCTCTTTGGCACTGAAAATCCCAAAAGGTAACACTTGCCATCGAAGTGTCCCTGAAACCCGCTCGTATAACTACTTAAGTTATAAAGTATTTCATATCATAATATACATAATTAATAATAAGAAATTATGCGCTTTCTTACAAGTATCTAATTTGTGTCTAGTTGGTATAAATTTGTTTCCAATTAAAAATACATACACTCACAGGCAAAATAATCGATCGACACAAATTTTCGATGAATTTCAATCGCAAATAACTTTTTTATTTGATGTCGGATTTAAACGAATATTAAAGAATATTGTAGATAAATTAATGGAAAATCGCTCACATTTTAAAAAATTACTAAAAAATTTATGTACGTTTATAATATACAGGTTTAAACAAAAAGATGTTTTTTACCATTAGTTTAAGACACTCTATAAATTGGCAAAACCGTATATTGTTCTAAATTAAGTTTTAATTATCAAGCCACATCTATTTATAACAGTTTTATTTTTGCTTCACCTTGATATATTTATTTATGTGGAAAATATGGATTTTTTAAAAAAAGGTAGATATGGTCCATCCATAGCCTATGGATGATGACAGTGGCAGTTTTGTTGAATCATCCCATACTTGCAACTCCATGGACATGTCATATAAGGCCTTCAAAAGCTATCAAATTGTTTTTTGTAAATTAAATGTCTTAATTTTGAGGTGTCCTCTTACTTTTAAGAAGGTAGGTATATGTCTCTGACTTTACTTCTTGTGACGTTTAAAAGACTTGCCACGTAATACTGAATTAAATCAATGGCTCTGGCAACATCAGTCGGAGACATATCCATTTTTAAAAGTAAGAAGACTCCTCAAAAGTTAAACATTAATTTGCAAAAAAACAATTTGATAGCTTTTAAAAGCCGTATATGACATGTCTAAGTATAAGATGATCCAACAAAGCCTATGGATGGACCATAGCAACCTTAGTTCTTTGTACAGAAAAAATATTGGAAATTGCAATGTTTTTTTAAAAAATCCATATTTTCCACAAAAATAAATATATCGAGGTGAACCAAAAATAAGACTGTTAAAAATAGAAGTGACTTGATAATTAAAACTTAATTTAAAACAATATACGGTTTAGCCACTCCACAGAGTGTATTAAACTTATGTTAAAAAACTTATATTTGTTTAAACCTGTATATTATAAATGAACGTCTATTTTTTAGTAATTTTTTAAAATGTGAGCGATTCTCCATTAATTTATCTACAATATTCTTTAATATTCGTTTAAATCCGACATCAAATAAAAAAGTTATTTACGATTGAAATTCATCGAGAATTTGTGTGGATCGATTATTTTGCCTGTGAGTGTAGTTTGGAAAAAATTGAGTTTATTTTGTGAGACACACGGTTGTACTTTGGCAAAAATTTGGAACTAATGATGACCATTTGGTAACCAAAAATTAAAAACTAATTGGGCATAAATCGGTCACACTACCGGGCTCATTACGGGCACATTTTTGGGGCAAACTATGGACATTTTATGATACAACTTCCGTCACCACTTTGCTCTTATTTTCCACACTTAGCCGTCTTTAAGTTGACTATGTCTTTAAAATGTGTCGTGTCCAAATCATAATTCGACGATGCCTCATACACCGTAGAATCCCCACTAAGTTTGTTTCAGGTCTTCAAATTGTCAAGTTCACCTTAAAGTAACTTAAGCCATAAATGCCTTTAAACACTTACCCACTTATCTTGAAGCCAATAGCCCTTTGTCATTTTATGTTGGTACGAATTTTAATGACAATTGAAGCAGTCAATTTTCTATGACCTTTGTGGGGGTAGTCAACCTAATTTTGACCAATGTTCTTTAAGAATGTATCCCTTTAGATTGTCCCTTGATATTTCCTATAAAAAAGCTACGCCACCTGGAATTGCTAGTCTTTACCTAGATCTTATCGAGCTATTTAAATAGTTCTCAGATATCTGTTTCAGGTGCCAGACAGTACCCACTTGTTTAGCTTTAGATTTACTCCTAGTTTTGCCAAACAGTTCATTATATTAGTTTAATTATTTGTTCCACTTTCTTTTAGGTAAATTTCTCAATCTAAGGAATTAGTCTGATTGGAAATAAGTTATCTTTAAGTACATTTCTATATTCTTAATTTAACATAACTGAATTTTCCTTCGGTTTTATCTTTTTGTTTTTAAACTGGTATTTCTTTGTTTGTTAATATATTTATATGTTTTAAAATATCACTTTATTGCTACGGTCTGTTTTATAAGAAATAACCCCGAGCCAATTCGAAAAGTAAATATATAGTGAACGGTGATCGTGCTTGAAGTGTTCCGGGGGATTCGACGTGCGTGAGTTTAGTGTGTGAGTATCCGTATCTGGAACTCCACCCCCACTTGGACTCCTTCGCCCGTCTCTATCCAACCTGAGCAGCTGCAATCCCCTCTGGGTTAAAGGTCAGATGTAATTTGTAACGGTGTAACATATAAAACATCAAAACTCACAATTTCATGGCTGGTCGATGGGAGGCTAGCCAAGGAATAAGAAATACACACCCGTAAAACCGTTACAAGCTATTTACCTATTCAAAACATTAATTTCATTTAAAAAAGATTATATATATATATACAGGGTGTTTCATAATATATGCGCAGGACTTCAGGATGTGATAAATTATCCAAAAAGATGAAAAAAGTCGTTATTAACTTACGCTCTAAAATGCACAATTTTCGAGATACAGGGTGTTGAAATTTTAGAAAAAAAATCGTTTTTTTCGAATATCTCCAGAACCGTTTATCGTACAAAAAACAGCTTTTGTAAGCATTTTCTACTCAAAATAAGCTATGTTTTGTGCCACAAAAAATTTTTTTTTCCTCATAATTGGTGGAGATTTTGAAGGGGTAGTGGGTGTTTTTCTCCTCAACTTCTACGCCCCTGAAAAATGTACGGTTTTGAGAGGCCTATTCGAACCGCCAATGTTTTCTACACAAAAAAGGTACTCTTGGTCATAAGCTCTAAAGTTGACCGTTTTCGAGAAAAATCAACTTTTATGTTTAAAAACATGGTCAATTTAAAAAAAAAAAATTTTTTTTTACTAATTAAACAAAATTTATTTTAACGTTAGAACAAAATAACAAAACCAAACCATAATTGCAAAATAAAAAATGATTCAAAAGTTGTCTTTGCTAACCAAACCGTTAAGGTAACGCATTTCGAACATTTCAGCATTTGTGTAAAAAATCATTTTTTATTTTTTTTTAATTTTGCAATTGTCGTTTGGTTTTGTTACTTTTTCTAACGTTAAAATAAATTTTGTTTAATTGGTAATAAAAAAAATTTTTTTTTTAAATTTTTTCAAAAAATTTACCATGTTTTTAAACATAAAAGTTGATTTTTCTCGAAAACGGTCAACTTTAGAGCTTATGACCAAGAGTACCTTTTTTGTGTAGAAAACATTGGCGGTTCGAATGGGCCTCTCAAAACCGTACTTTTTTCAGGGGCGTTAAAGTTGAGGAGAAAAACACCCGCTACCCCTTCAAAATCTCCACCAATTATGAGTAAAAAAAATTTTTTTCTGGCACAAAACATAGCTTATTATGAGTAGAAAATGCTTACAAAAGCTGTTTTTTGTACGACAAACGGTTCCAGAGATAATCGAAAAAAACGATTTTTTTTATAAAATTTCAACACCCTGTATCTCAAAAATTGTGCATTTTAGAGGGTAAGTTAATAGCGACTTTTTTCATCTTTTTGGATGAGCTATCACATCCTGAAGTCCTGCGCATATATTATGAAACACCCTGTATATATATATATATATATATATATATATATATATATATATATATATATTTAGTGTCCGAGCAAAGCTCGATTTTTAGCCGAAATTGTAAACGAATATTCGGCTTCTCTTTTAGTTTCGGCGAAACAGTTACGGAAACTTATTTAGTTAAATAAAAATTTAATTAAATGTTTGTTATACCCAAAAATATAGTGTTTTTTAGCCTTGTGCCAGATTATTCAATTAGATTAAATAAAAGACTGGAATTTATTCATTTTTTAAATGCAATGTACATAAAATTATTTATAAAGAATCGGTTAAAACTTAACTCAATTTTTAAGTATTTAATTATCTATCACAATTAAATACATTTTTTTAAATAATTATTTGTTAACTAACAGGTATGGTATTCTCTTAAAATAATTTTGTTAATTCTACAATAAGTGTTAATTGTATTAATTAAATTAATGAGATACCTGGTGCATTTGACAATGTTAAAAAACTCAACCTCAAAAACCAAAGAGCTTATCTGTCACATCATTTTTACAAAAGTATTAATTTTTTTAAATTTTTATTTGATAATGGGACAAAATAATATATGCAACACGTGAAGAACAGTCGACTATTTTTTTCACTTGTTGCACAAAATACTATTATTTCTACACACAAGTTTTTTAAATACTGGTAAATGCACATTAAATCTCAAAAATTTTATGGGAATACAGCATATTCCGCTCGAGTAAAAAGTTTATCACACGAGCCGAAGGCTTTACGAGAGCGAAATATGCAATTCCAAACATGTTTCAGACTATACTTTTTCTACGTTTCTAAAAAATACCATAGAAAAATAATTTAATTGGGAGAAAGTGAGGTTGGATCGGTATAAATTTGTTAGAATAAGAATATTAATTTATTTTGTAATACTTTCAGGAATATATGTCATTCCACATTAAAAAAGATATTAGAACGGTCATATTTCGTAATAGGAGTAAAAAAATCATAATAAATTGTATATTTAATTACTTTATAATTCTTTGTTTTACCTACATTTTATTTTATGTCGTTAAAACGTTGGGTCCATATTGTGGTTATTTTCCAGATGTCAAAAATGTGAAATAATAATTATTATTTAAATATTCAATTTATTATAAAGAATTTACACAAAAAAAAACAATTAAATTTTAAACAATAATTTCTTTGACCATCCTATGTTTATGTTATATTAAATGGTAGCACGACTTTCGGTTCGGACAAAATATCTCCGAAATAATATAATCAAACAAAATATTTGTAGACAAAACATCCAACAGACACAATATTCGCAAAAAAAATATACATTGAGAAAATATCCGAACAATAAAATATATTGGGTTGGGTTGGTTTTTTAGTTTGATATTTATATTTGTTACATATTTTTACTAATACTTTATTGAATAGAGTGTGTGTATGGTTGGTTTGGCTAGTTAGTTAGCTAGTAAATCCATCATAAATCAACACATTGTTCTTATTGATAGATTTTTGATAGCACAACAATGGTGTTGAAGTTTATATCTTCATGAAAAGGTAAAAAAATGTTGCTTGTTGGTGCATATTTGTACACTCTTATTTTGTATAAGGATATTTTTCCGATGAATATTTTATATGACGGATATTTTGGCTCTTAAATATTTTTTCGCGGATATTTTGTATTTGGATTAAATATTAAAATACCATATTAAATTGTCATACAAAATGTCCTAATTTGCTTTAAAAATTTAAAATTAATTACAACACAAAATGTGATTTTATAAATAAAAAAAATAAACTTTTTTAAATATTCGGCTAATTACAATTACAAAATCACCACACATTTTACAAATCCTAAACACCTCTGTCGTATTTAATGAAAGATCTCTTTAAAAAATATGTTCTATGCCGCCCACTAATAAAATCATAGGAAACGGTTTACCGCGGTTGTTCTTTAGGATATAATAAATACTTACCGGATTTTATTTCCAAATTTGTTACTTTAAAATTTACCAAGAATGCCTTTGAATACATTTCCAAGAGACATTGTATCGCTATTCTTATTTTATTGCATCCTGTTTTAACTGATTCTAAACTCTAAAAAAATTATATGTGCATACAACTAATATAAACAACAAGTCATTTTATATATTTACTTTAGAATCACATATGTTCTGAAGTTCTTCTATACTGTCGATAACATCCAAAGTACATAGATTTCCCAATAAATTAACTATACACTTAACTGATTGAATAACTTTTTGAGGCTGTATGGCTTTTATTTCTGGAATGTCTAACTTTTTCATTTCATTTTCCAAAGTATCTAAAAATAAAAGTTTTTATATTTGATTTTTAATTTTTTTTTATATTTAATTATTAGGTAAAAAAATTTGAATTATTTATTATAAATAATAAAAAAGTTTACAAAACGAGGAATTTTCTAGCTAATCGCCTGAATTGGTCTGCAATCGCATTTCTTCTTTCAATAAACACATCTCTCTTAAAATGAATTAGTCAAAAATAACTAATTATAAGTCATATTTGACTAATTGTCATATCGAGAAAGCAGTCACTAATAATTAGTCAAATTCTACTGAATGAAATAGTCAAATTAGTAGATTTAAATTTAAAAAAGTTTTTACTCAGCCGAGGATTGAACTCAGATCTGCCGCTTGTCAAGCTTGTCAAGCTGTTGTCATAACCAATGTGGCTATTAGTCACGTTTATAAAAATCAATTTTATTTGTCAACAAATATTGTTCATAATTTTTTAAAGTTGAATAAATTATTTGTGTTGCAGTTTTGAGCTAAACTTTTTGCATCTTTGTTTATTTTTATGGGCCATTTAACCATGGAGCCTATATGCATTTAATTCAAATAAAACTTTATTGTTGGCCGCAAAAGATTAAAAAAATTAGTTACTTTTAACTCTCAGAAATAGTCAAAGATGGTGACTAATCTTAAATTAGTCAAACTTTAACTATTTACGTAGTAAAAAATAACTATTTAAAAGTGAAAACGACTATTTTATTAGTAAAAAATGCTGGTACTAATTCAAATAGTAGAATTTTGACTATTTCATGTTAATAGAGAAGGGTCTTTATAAATCGTAAATAGTAAAAATTGTCTATAATTTTTGATGTTTTGGCGAAAATTAAAAATAAATATTGGAATATAATCTGCTGAGTGTTAAAAAATTATGACATAGTTTTTTTAATTCTCAATTTGTTTATGACAATAAATGTCTGTCTATATTTAAAAACTTCTGTATTAGTTGAATAAAAAATCATTTTTTAAACCCATTCATAGAAAATTAATAAAAATTTAAGAGGATGGTTAGAAACAAATGCAAACACCTTAGTTACATCTTAAACTCGAAATGTCGATTTTATAAACTGCTTAAGTGATAAGCTGAACAAGATGAATGCTTTCCACGGAAGAATCATCATTTTTTGTGATTTTTATTTGTATGTGCTTAATTTCTTATTCGCTAAACAATTACCTACTTAACAAAATATATCAAGCAGGCCTATACAAAAAAGTTAAAACTACCACTTGGATAAGACACAATATTTCTATACTGATTGACTATATTATCACAAACGAAAAACAACATATTACCAAAGATAAGTGACCACTAATTTTATCGGCAAATATTGGAGACAGTTTTCCGGGAAATAATGCTTTTATTTTATACCAGAGGTCAATGCAAAATTACAAAGTGGATGAATTTTAGAAGTGCCAAAGAAACACTGTATGGAATGGTGATATTTTGGATGTCTTGGCGAATATAATCGTTAATTATATTACCCAGTGTCCCTAAACTTAGTGGCATAATTTTTGGTAAATATTGACCAAGTCAAAATAAGACGAAAACCTAAATATTTTTCCTAATTACTTATGTTTCCAATATACAGGGTGATAAAGTGTTACTTATCATATCAGTTGTTTAGTATATGAAGAAAAAAAAATATTAGTATTATATTATACTATAGTAACGCTCCGCACCTCAAGGCAAACGGTCGCGTGGGTAGGGTCTCGTTTAACGCGTTCGTACCTTAGTGCCATCACCGCTAATGTTGTTCAAATTCAAAAAAATCAAAAATCAATAACAATTCTACACGTGATCTACCAGAACCAAGTACAAAAAGGGTACAAATTGCGTGAGGTACCTCCTCCTGGATTAGGTAGTCCTAAAGTGCTTTACCCGTAAAAAAAGGGTGTGAGTGGGATTATTGGATTCAACAAATAATTTTCTGGATTACCAACACAGAAATAATACGTGCTAACAGTGGGCAGTCGACGTTAAGAAATAATTTCATCACATCTGCCTGTCAATGCACCCGAAGTCCAAGTCTGCAAACCGGCTAAGTAAAATTAACTAAAATTGCTTGACCTTATTAATACCCAAATACTAAATTTTAATACGAAAAACTCCACCACGTAATTAATTAGTCGCCACCAGTTTCCACAAGAAAAGCAAGCATAGCCAAAGGACTCATAACTCATAAGAACTAAAGGGCACACATAAAAAGCCATTAATCACTCAAGTTCAGATAAACACTAGGCAAAAAAAACTCATCCAAATAAACATATGTAGATTACTAAACACATTTAAAGGGACATAAATTGGGTAACCAACCGAAGTGGCCGACTCCTCAAAGACATAATACGTTCTATACGAAAATAAACAACCGCACAGTGGGGTGCAACCATAAAAATATTACTACTAATAATAGTATTTGAGGGTAATTTAATGTTAAAACAGGGCTCTTTTCCTAAAGAATTTTGGGTTTGTGGCAAAACCCTGCGACCCTCCAACACAGTATTTCTTACTTCCTTAATTTGGCTATATAAATTTACAAAACTCGACCATTTCTCAAAACTAGGAATATATTCTGAATTTATATTCAATTCTAAATTATTAGCTTGATCTATTAAATTATTATATTGATCATATAATGTATCTAAAATTGACGTATTGTAATAGGGGAAAAATTAAAAGAGCTTAAGTTTCACTAAATTCAAAGAAATTGTCAATGGGGAATTTGTTTTGAAGTAACAAGAATTTAATACTTGGAAGGATTTTTTTAGTAGAGTAGATGGACTCTAAGGATAGAAAGTTCCTTTGTCCAAAAAATTCACCAGCGGAAACGCGTACTGAAAAGGGACCAGATGATGTTTTTCTTGAAAAGCCTTAACGGTCATTTGAAAACGCCTTCCTTTGTTTTAAATCGATCGTTGGAAAATTTAAAAGTAGAGAAAGTAGTTAATAGAACGATAACAAATTGATTTATTCAATAATCATTTGGATTAAAGAATTAGGACTAAGATAAGGATATATCCAGCCGTAAAGTAGTTTTACAGATACGTTCTAAGAATTTAATGTAACCCTAGAAAATTGTCTAAATGTATAACTTAGGTTGAAGTAAAAGGGTAGTCAGTACTTGCCTACGTCAGCGTCAAGTGGGGGTGGAAATTTGTCACTGCACGCCGCTGATTGGCCAAGCTTCACCCCTTAACCAAGTCACGCCCTCAACTTAAGATAGTCTTTAAAAGCTCTGTTCAGCCGCGTTCGGCAGACTTTTTCTTAGTAGATTCCGCGCGCGTCGTTTCCGAGTTACGCTCTGACAACCGTTCAAAGTTTTAGCCAGTCAGCGTGAGTGCCAAAGCCCAGTAATAAGTTAAAGTCAGGTATATTGTCGAGTTTATTGTAAATTGCTTATACCGGTGTTCGCCGTTGAGTTCAACTTACGTGACCGGTTTAGTTTAAATTTTGTAGTTTAAATTATTAGTTTTATAAGATTCATTTAGGTTACCTTTTTATAAAGTTACTTTAGCTTTTGCTTATTAGCTTAATTCAAGAGTTAGAGTTTAATCTTAATACTCAGTATACGTATATATCTATAGATTCTTTGTTATTTTTCTTTACCGTTAAGTTATTAATTTTTCTTATTTTCTTTGTTAATTTTTATTCTTCTCCTTAATTGTGTTTGTGGTTAGAATCTGCTTTGTTTCCGTGGGAACCTGTTAATTCTAATTACCCTGGGGTTGGCAAGCGTAAGTATATCGTGATTCGCGAAGTGTTCCGGGAGATCCGTCGCGAGTGACTTACTGTGGTGATTCGTGCTTATTGGGATTACCAAATCATCGTCAACCGTCGCGTCGCTGGATCAAAGGTCAGATTAGTAATAACATTCTTGTAACGGACTGATAGTAGTCGATATCAGCCCCGCTCCCCTCGTTAAGTAACCCAAAAAACCACCCGTTACAACTAGTGTCAGATTTGTCTCATAATTTTTCAGAACTAATTTCTCTTGCATTAATTATTTGATTGTATATAGGTGTTTATGGAATTTAATATTAATTAAGTTTTTCATTACATGTAAACATATTATCGAAATAGCTTAAATAGACACAACTGGTTTCAGGTGTGCCCAAAATTTTTAAAGTATATTACATAGTCAGAAAACTTAAATTTCGCGTAATTTTGTTTGTCTCTACTCAAGAGTCAATGGACTTAACGTTGAGCGCATTTGTTTTGTGAGATAGCTAGCAGGCACTTATTTTGATTTGTAAATGTTATAGCGATTGTAAAAGTACCTAAAAGTTAAAAGTTGTAAAAAGTCGAAATCTCTAGTAAATAAAGCACGCGCAAGGTAATTTAGGGGCTGTTAGGGCGCGTGCGGATAAAATCTAGGTGAATCTCCGGCAATAAATTAATCACTCAATAGTTATTGTCGTTATTATTAGCGAAGGGCAATAAATAATTTTCTGAAATTGTTTTCATTGCTTTGTTAATTCCTCCTAGAAGTTACTTGCAGTTTAAAGAGTCTATAAAAACAATAAAGCTAATAAACGCAGTTAAGATAAACAGTTTAAGAATTAAAATCGCAGCAGTTTAGAGTTTACAGGGTATAAAGAGTTAAAAAGGACAATAGTACAAAAGCGCAGAAAGTAAATTCGATCTAATTACGTGTGCTTCGTTAATTAGATATAAGGTCGTCTCGATTTCCACAGCAAAAAGTCGTACACAGAGAGAAACTCTGTGACGCAGGAGAGCCACAGGGGACCACATAGCCAGACATATTATTTCCTGTGCCAATAAAGTTGTTTTTATTCGTCAACTCATCGTCCCCATAATCGCCAAGTAATAGTTTTGATCTTATTTCCATAGCTTTTCGGGTTGCAGTTGTCAGTTAGTTGATTTGTTAAAATGACAAATCAAAACACAGTATTACCTAATAGAACACAAAATAATTGAGAAGAAACAATAAGCACAAAAAAGTTGTCCGACTTATTTCAAAAAATAACATTTAAACAT